TACCCCTCTAGCAGTAACAACTTGTTTACAATAGTGAAAAGAAATGCTGCCCCATAGGTATTTTCCTTCTTGTTTAGAACAATTCCCTTTCTTTTCTCATTGAGTTTTAATGCTGTTTAAATGTCTCATGCATTGACTATATGTCATGTAATTGGTGGATTAGATGTTTGGCCAAATCAGTTTAACAAATGTGACTGTAGGAGGTAGTACGAGTCTACAAACTACATGTAGTTTTTAACTGTTTAGTGATAACCTAAAACGTCATGTAGTCAAGTGGGTTTCATCGAAATTAAATAAATCAACAAACTACATTTATTTATCAAGCAGGTCCTGAGGTCTTTAAGATACACCCGTCGTACAAGGTGAGTCTATCGTAAAGATAAACATCCGCTTTGCATGTAAGTCAAAGGTTTAAAACCTCAAAGTGAGAATGCATGTGGATGAAATGGATGACCTATTAATGCACATGAACTTAGTCAGTTGCAACGACGGCTGATGATTCGATCACGCAATTTATTGTAAATATTTTTGCGAGAAACGAGAAAGAAATCAATTTTTCTCAGTAAATAATTTCCTTCCCTATACCCAGCATTCTTATTACTTAAAAAAGACAGGTAAGGCTTTAGACCAGGAGGTCCAGCTGTTGGATCACGTGACATGTCTGTTTGACGAAGATCACGTGGTGTGCTTTGTTGACGATTGTCGCTGCATTTTTCGATCCAGCAGCTGCCGTTACTGCTGCAATGTCATCTGGTTAACAGAGTCCCAGCGACCTGGAAGAGAGGAGGAACCTGCAGAGGACAGCACACGTCCTCGGTGCCACTCATGTCCGACCGAACGCCCTCGGTGTCAGTGAACAGAGAGGTGATGCTTTTATTATTGATTTGAGACAACAAAAAGGAGGAAGTGCTTTTCACCTCGACGGGACCACAGCTTGTAAAGTTCATGTGGGGAGACTGTTCCTTTTTCAGGTAATCTGACACACACGGACACATGTTGTACCGCGAAAAGCCACAGATCAGTTAAACGCGTGTTATGGGTTTACACGTGAGTCAGCACATTATATTTTTCTGTGATACCTAGCTTTGTCTCTCAGCTTCATCATTAGCATTCATCAAGATTCCTTAGGGATTGACGAGCACCTCTTGTATCCAATCAGAAGAGAGAGAGAGCTGTCTCCAGCCAATCAGAGAGGATGAAGGCGGGCTTATCTTCATGAGGAAAACGTTCACGTCTGTAGTGACATCTTTACTGGCCTAATCGCTTTTTTTTAAACGCAAAATAGTTCCTGTTCCTTAATCTGATTTATTAATAGTAATTGCATGAAAATACAGAAAACGGTCGCTTTGGTCGAAGTCCATAAGTATTGATTTCAAACGGACGTAAAAAGGGTTCGTGTTACTTGTAAACGTGTCCATTTTGACGTAGGTATAAATTAAACTAAAACAATGTTGACATTTTATAGCTGTACCTTGTTTTTGTAACCCTTTATTAGTTACTTCAGTAGGTAAATATGAAAAAAGTAAAGAGGCTTTAAGTTGTGTGAAAATAGATCAAACTTCAGATAAAACGTCAAAAGATCGGGGGAAAGTCCTAATTCCAATTATTTAAAAACAAACAACAAAAAAATCCAAAATGTGAGGAACAATAGTGATTAGCCCAGCCCAGGGAGCAGTGGGTTTGGACAGTGCCATGGGCAGTGAACCTCAGAGGAACCTGGTAGCTGGTGGAATCAAACCTTCTGGACACAGGTAGTATGGCTGTATCCTGAGCTGAGAACAAGAGGTTTCTTAGTTCAACGTTTAACATTTAATACTAAGCCATACATTTTTAAAATTGACACCATAATTTGCTAAATATGATTACAAATTAAATTAAATTAAATTTTCACCAGTTAATTTTACACGTTACTTCTTGTACACATGATTAAAAATATAAAAAAAATATATATATATATTTGAGTGATATTTGAGACACGAGTGTCAATGTGGTAGTCAATGTGTTAAAAAGATGTTTTACATTCAGCATTTATTATGTAAAAACATCAACCTTTTGCTGGTCCTGCTGCTTTTGCTGAAGATATCATGTTCTTATTTCCTTATGTTCAGATCATTTGACTCTGTTGTAATTTTCCTACAGCTGACACACAGTTTCACTGCTGCTTTTTTGTTTACTTTTATTACTGTTGAATAGAAACTAGAAAGTAAAAAAAAGTAAAGTTAAAAAATATAAGAGACCTGAAACCTTTTGATAAAACTTGACACCAAAAATATCTCTGTACACTATAGACGGTGACTGGATAGTGACCAGTGGTGGACAAGTGTCAAGAATGGCGATCACGAAACAGTTCAGACTCCTGGTCTGGAAGAACTACCTTCAGCAGGTGAGTTACTGACACAGCACCTGTGTGCGTGTGTGCGTGTGTGTGTGCTTTTAAGGTGTCGACCCAGTGTAAACTCTCAGAGAACAGCTGAGAAGTATGTTTTGACTGTGTTTGTTAAGCCGTTGATTCATGTGGTTCAATAACAAAATACAGTTTATTGACTGACACTTTGTTTTTCCTACACAAGTACAGTGTGATGTCACTCATCTTCATAGAAACTGGTCAACCCCAGTGTTGTTGTACTACACATTGACTGTACCTGGGTCAGCTGGTCAGCTGGTCTGTCACATGACCTCATATGACCACCTTTAGGAAGTCACGTTTCATAAGTTACATGATTGTGTGGCTCTATTCATAATCCTGTCGAGACAAACTTTGCGAAACGTACAATATTTGATCACGGACAGATCCTGTGTTTCGTAACCCTATATGTGTGTTTCCTTCTAGCTTGTTTAAATGTGTTTTGCAATAGTTTATTATGCAGAAGCAGATGAACAGATTCTTGCACAAATGATGCATTCAAGGGATGCAGTAGTATCACCAGACTCAGTTGACTTAAGATATGTAAAAATAAAACTGCGTGAACATTTTTTATCAGTCAGTCTAAAGTGTCATGAACGCTGCAGCTATTCAGAAATGTAAATTACAATCTGCTGCACCGTGCTGCTGTGATGGTGTCGCAACAACACACTTGTGATCGTCCTGACTGACCAGTAAGAGGAGGAAGTAGAACTGGAGTGGATGCTCTCTACATACTTTGGCACAGCATAGATGATTTTAATAAGAAAACGTTTTGTTATTAAGAAGATCATTTCTGATGTGAACTATGTTAAACAACATGGGTGTGAAATATGTTTTTATAATAAAAGCATGAAAGTGTACTGTAATTATTCATAGACATTCAGAGGTTTAGCAATTAAGATGAATCTGTCCCATGTCCCACCGTACCCAGGGTTGTGCACAGCCAAAGAGGCAGCACATTTAGACTGCATTTAATCTTCTGAGTCATAACTTTTTGGATTAATGCAGAAAGGACAGGATGAGATATTGAGCCCCTCCAACTCCCTATTGATTTAATGTGTAATGTCATGAAAATGACCAAAAAACCCTCTGCTAGGAGCCATACGATCGCATGGGAGCGGAATATAAATCTCCTCTTGTCTTAACTGTCTGACACCCTAAGCAGCAGTGCGATACACAGATTGATGTTGGACTTTATTGTGAGTTGTAAAGATTTATTTTTCAGCTCTGTCAGTCTTCGTAAACACCTGTGAAATGTGGGGTAAATAAATATGCCGTATTCTTTTTCTAGTGTTTCAAGCGATTCGTCTCTTGCCTTTGGTAGACCCTTGACTGAACTGTGTCTAATAGAAATGTCTTTATACCTGCACCGCAGAAACGACAAATCCTGGTCACACTGGTGGAGATTCTCCTGCCACTGCTCTTCTCCAGCATCCTCATTGTGTTGCGTCAAAAGGTGCCCTTCAAGGACTACCCCAATGCCACGATCTACGAGAGCTACAGCGTGGACACTTTACCCAAGAGTTTTTTTGAACGACTGCAGCTGGGCTACGTGCCCCTTAACTCCAGCGTGGTGCGTCAGGTGGCAGAGGATGTGCGAGAAAACCTGGCGCTTTCCTCAGGTGAGTGAAGGAAAACAGGATGATGATTATTTGTCCTTTTGTTCCTAAAATGTTTTTTATTATTTCTCTTAATGTTAATTTATTTCAATTACTCTTGAATAATTGTGATTAAATACAATCATGATTAGTCTTGACTAGTTGTGATTGATCACAACCATGATTAATCTTAGTCAATCAACAGCTACAATAAAATATCTCTTT